TACATGGGCCACCCTAGCTTATTACCTCCCAACTTTAAATCTTCATTACAGATTTATGCTTCTCTAAAAGTAATGGACTATAATTCTAACCTATCAGTAAAGAAAATTCCTATCTGAAAAGGGTTAGGTTCCAATTTCTTTAAAGGGTTCTACCCTATGATGAGTTTACAGAGCATTAAAAGGACAGGCTCCTCTCTGTTTCTATAGTGGGGAGCAGTGACCAGAGGGGTCCCAAGCTAGCAGTCCCTGCTTCCTCTAGCACTTCACTTCTATGCCTAAACTGAGGCAATACCACAGGGGCACACTCTGCCATAGGAAACGACCTCCCTGCACAGCCAGGCCCCCAACCCTCTGGCCTCAGAGAACCCCAAGTCTTCATCACTCCTGAGGTCCCAAGTCATCTTGTCACAACCAACATTTCTGCTCAATCCACTGTGGTAGTCACTGCTCTGGCTGCTCTGACTCCTCCACTGCCCCTCTGCCCAGGTAAAGAAGGCAGTGTGGAACAGAAGAGAGAGCCCAGAGACTTGAGCTCTGCAGACCCAGCATGGAATCCTGCCTCTGACACCAGCCAACAGAGGACTGAAGCTTCTCAGCCTCAGTTCTGTCCTCTGTAAAACAGATACCTGGAACACTGACCTTTATAAGAGGGTAGTAGATGTTTAAAAATAAATTCGAGGCAATACTAAAACAAGATGCCCACTTGGATGCAGACTACAGAAAGACTCTGCCAGGGACTCAGCTGTGACTTGAGGACCTAATTTCTCTGACTCTCCCTAAGGGATGCTGATTTCTGCTGAGATGCTCCCCCTCTGTGGGCCCTGAGCACCTGACAGCACAGAAGAAAGGCTCCCAGCAGGCACTCACAGGGAGCCCTTCAGAGCCAGCACCCAGCCAGCTGATGCCTCATTCACCCCACTCCAAGAAAGAATCAGAAGCTCCAAGGAAACTCATTTTCCAAATGCAGGCAGTTTAGTGCTGGAGCTTTAAAGTAACAGTAAACTTTTTCTTTCAAAAGTTTCCAAAGTTTCAACTCTTCCAAGACACTCCCAAAGAACTCATGATGTAAAAATGCTATCTGTCTCCAAAGAAAGAACTGAAGGTGTCTGAATACAAACCAAAGCATACTATTTTTCACTTTCTTTTTTTTTAAGTTTGTTTTCTTCCACAAAAAGACTAATATGGAAATATGTTTTATATGATGGCACATCTCTAACCTATATCAGAATGCTTACTGCCTCAGGGAGGCTGGAAGGGAGAGAGGGAGGGATAGAATTTGGAACTCAAAACTTTTTTTACAATGTTAAAAATTGTTTTCATGTGTAATTTGAGGGATATCAAATATTATTTTAAAGGAGGTGGGGAACTTCCAAGTTCCAAAAGCGTCCAAGTTTCTCAACTCCTCACCCTCGGTACAGATCAGGACTTTCTTTCTGCTCTTGCTTCTCATTCCTATCTGCTTAAACTTTCTCACTTTTCCTTCTATATACATATTCCTCCACTGGAGTCTTTAAAACTGCTTGCCTTGTTTCTTTCATGTTCTGATCCAACCCTTCTGTTACTTTCTTCTACTTCCTTTGATCAATCATAGCCTAAATAATCTTCCCTCCACTGAGTATCTTGTTTCTCTCTCTCCTCTGTCCTCCCCTTTGATGCTGCTACAGTCAGGGAGGGAGGGGGGAAGGGGGGAGAAGGCGACTCTCCCTATTTCCCTTTCCTCTCTACTCCAAATCTTTCCCTGTGTCACTGTCTTCCCAGGGATCCCCTGCCTTTGTTCCATTCCTAGCTGTTTATAATCAGTTTGCTCCCTCTCAGGTGAGCGAAACAATAAGCAGGGATTTCTAACTGCTCGTTCACATTGGAGTTTCTCCTCCGACAACCTCAGCTTTCTCTCAGTTTCTAACCAGGCTTCAGCAGCCCTATGCACAGACCACAGCAGCGGCCAGCCCACAAAGGCAGCCCATTGCCTGCCTTCCCAGGAAAGTGAGGCACTCTCAATTCCTTCATCAAGAGGGATAAGCCAATTAGCGTTTGTCCAGGAATGCCAAACTTTCACAGTCAGCCCCACCCAAACTGTGAAAGCCTGTTTCCCAACCAACATCCCTCTACCTTACCCCCTCTCCCAGCTGACCCTAAGCCATTAGCTAAATTCCCACCTTCTTCATAGGCCCATCAAGAGAGTCATAACTTTGACCCAGGCACTCACTGCAGGTGGGCAGGTACCATAGGACAATTCACACACACACACACACACACACACACACACACACACACACACACACCCTTCACATGTACAAATGTGGGTGCATACTCCCACACAAACACACCCTGCCCCCCAGATAACCTAACAGAAATAATAGGAATACTTCATCCGACTGCAGGGCCCTAGTGGGGCCATGGGGGCCAGGAGCAGGTGGTGGCAGGACCCAGTGACTCAGCACCTGGCCAACCCACATTTTCTCTCAACTAGGAGGGAGCCAATTTTCAATATTGAAATTCCACTGAGACGTCAAATTAAGTAAACAGTAAATTACTAATTAGCAATTCTCAAAGCACATTCCTAAAACAACTCGATCACATTCCTGGCCTATGACCGGGATGAGAAGTGAGTGAAGCAGATGAAGGAAGGAATGAGGAATTTCAGGTATTCGTGTCCTCAGAGTGACAGCAAACGTCAGAGGCGGAACCCAAACTCAAAGGTTCTGATGCCGAGGCCTGAATTTTCTCCACTGTATCATGCTGCTCTTTGGTTCTAGGTGAAGAAACCAGAGCAAGCACTGAGTTCTCTTTTTAAAAAATGTCCTTTGACGGGGCAGCTAGGTGGTGCGGTGGATAGAGCACTGGCCCTGAAGTCAGGAGGACCTGAGTTCAAATCCAGCCTCAGACCAAACACTTGACACTTACTAGCTGTGTGACCCTGGGCAGGTCACTTAACCCCAATTGCTTAAAAGGGCAAAAAAAAAAGTCTTTTGAGAAAAGATTTAAAAACACTGAATGCATCCTTCTAACCACGAGCTGAGATGGGGATGTGTAGATTCATTTACAGTCATCTGGAAGCTCATTAAATAGACACTTACTAGCTATGTGACCCTAGGCAAGTCACTTAACCTCTGTTTGCCTCAGTTTCCTCAGTTGTAAAAATGAGAGCAATAAGTGCATCTATTTCATAGGACTATTGTGAGGATCAAATGAAATAATATTTGTATTATATATGTATTACATGTGTGTACATATATTTATATATAATATATATTGTATACCTGTGTCTACTACACAGTAGATGCTATGTAAATGCTTATTCCCTCCATCATTGCAGAGGAATATGCCATAGACCTAGAGTTTGGCAAAGCCTGCTCAACTCTGTTGTAACAGCCTAAGACTGAAACCTGGTTGGTTGGGGTTTTTTTTTCCCTGAAAACTGAATTTTACATTTTTCTTCATGTAAAATGGCAGTTTTCTTGGGTGTGGGAGAAGGAAAAGCCCATAAGGGCTGACCAAATTCAGAAATCATGAAAACCCTATCTATAGACCCCAAGAGGTGCACCATATAGACATAACACCTCTCCCAGGACTTGCTACTATGGAGAGAGCTGTCAGCCTTTACCAGATAACACAATCTAGGAGATTCAAACCTAGGAATAACAAAATTCCTCATGCCTTTTTTACAGACAAGATGGAAAGATATGGTCAATCTCTTTTGCACACTGGATCTCTTTAGCAATAGTCTAGTGAAGTCTAAAGATCATTTCTCAGAATCATGTGTCTGCTTTGCTGGGTTTAGCTAGGCTCAGGCCCCCATAGTACAAAATAAAGCATAGAAATACAACAGAAATTAAAAAGAGTAGAAAAGCATAGAAATAAAAATAAAACATAGAGTTACTAAGGAAACAATTAAACTGAAATACAGTTATCAAAAATTTTTTTTAATTTTTTGAGGGGGTAAGCAATCAGGAGTAGGTGACTTATCCAGAGTCACACAGATACTAAGCATCTGAAGTTGGATTTGAACTCAGGTCCTCTGACTCCAGAATCAGTGCTCTACTCACTGAAAATATGTTTTTTTTTTAAATCTTAACCCCAGGTTAAGAATCCTTGGTCTAGATGATAGCACAATCAGACCAACATAGGACTAGTTGAATAACTGGACCCAAACCACATTCATGAATGCTTCAGTGTCACCTCAGAAGAAGGTCTCAGGTGAGTGCCCCAGGGATGTCTTTGGCCTTCTGTTTTCAATATTGTTGTCAATGACTTGGATAAAGGCACAGATTACATTCTTAAAGAGTTCTCAGGTGGCAGAGTCAGGATCCAAAAAGATCTCAGCAAAATGCTGGCCTGAATCAAATGGTATGAAATTAGATATTCCTAAGTAACTCTCAGAAGATAATGGCTTTCCCCACAATGGAGATCTCCATGCAAAGGGTAGATGGCCAATTACTGGTGGTTATTGTAGTTAGAGTTCTTGGTCAGGCAAGGGTTAGAACAGATGGCCACCAAGGTCCCTTCCAACCAAGATTCTATGAGTTGGGGCCCTAGAGGGGCCAGCCCCACCCTCTAGCTCCTTTGGAAGCCCTTTCAGCTCATGGTGTCCTGCGGTAGCAGTCTCCCATCTCTATTGTTCCCCATGGCAACCCTTGATTCTTCATAGCATTGGACAATCCATGGCTTCTAGAATTCCTTCCTTGCTCTTGAATCGCCCAACAACCACCACAGAACACGGGCGAGCTACATCCCATTCCCAGCCAGTGGCCAAAGGCATCCAACAATATGCAAGGCCATGGAAAGATCCCCCACACGCCATCCCATCAATGAGGCCTGGCAACTGGAGAACACCACTCTATGACAGCGACTCTGTCAAGTGATCAAGGAAAATGCCACTCATGCCCCCAGCTTCAGTGGCTGTTTTAACTAATGGAGATCAACCTCTCTATAAGCAAGCATGGAGGGCTGCTAATCCTTCATCGATGAGTCATCAGACAAGTTTGTCAGGTGAGCAGAAACACTCTCTCTGCCCACCCCCAGGTCTTCCTTTCTCTAGATCTGGCTATCTATGAGTCTACAGCTTTCAAGAGCCTTAACTAACTAAAAGGTAGACTTCCTCCTAAACTGGAGCTTCATCAGACCACTCCATATAGACTGTAGCCCCTACTGGCACCTACTGGGAGCTTCTTAATTCTCAAAGGTATTCTGATAAGCCTTCAACAGCACCCCCTTGGAAAAGAAGCTGCCAGTTGGAAAATCAGGCAGCAGAGACAGGGACAAAGTTCAATACTAGACCATATCATCTCCATCCCAGCAATTCAGCATGACCTGATGGGGAACAAGCTAGCCATAAGCAGTTATTTCATGGAGAAGCTTGGAGCTATCCCTTCAGGATATCCAGGTCCAGCAATGTCTCTGAATTGAGGGTTCCTCCTCTACTCACGATCAGAACTGTATCAATCACTGCCCCCACCTTCCTGCTTCTGCTTGTACCTGACTACATTACTCAAGGAGATTGATTTGGCTACAGAGGCCTGACCCTAGCTAAACCCAGCAAAGCAGACACAGAAGTGTGTATGTCTATATTCAAGCTGACTGGCCAAGGACTCATCTAAGACATATGGAAAGAAAGAAGGAGGGATCAGAAGCATAGGAATGGCTGGGTTCTCCAGTAGGAAGACCACCAACAACACCACCCTCTTCCTAGTACCCATCCTTCAATGTGCAGGCAACTGAGTGTCCATTTGGCCTATGGACCTTGAACTCCTGAATCTCACAGCAAGCTTCAGGAAAAAGTCTTGGCGGTTGCCTCAAGGTTATTCAGGAACATAAAACACATAACCTTTAGAGTGCCTGGCCAAGATCTGCTCACATTGGACGTGACTCAGTTCCTCCATTCTCTGTAGTCTTAGGGGTATGCTACCTGGCCTTCCACAACCCTGAAATCATATAGAGCCCCTAGGGTAGAGCTCTGATCTTTCTGCTATACTCAGCACTGCCATAGGACACTCCATTTTACATCCAGCTACCTGACCAAGGAAGGTCTTGGAGTCTCCAATAATGATAGACATATATATGCATACATAGAAGGTAAACAGATGCTAGATAGACAGATCAATAGAGCAGTTATCAATTGTTTACTCTATTCCAGACAATATATTCTAATAAATTCCTACTGTGCTACATTGTAGATATGAATACACAAAAGCAAGAAAAGGCCTAAACTCAAGAAGCTTCCATTCTAATGAGAGAAGACAACATGTGAAGGGAAAGCTGAAGGGAGAGGAGTACATATATGGCAGCACGGAGTGGAGGGAGCAGGAAATTATATGGAAGACTGGACCCTGGCAAGGTAAGGTAAAAGCCCAGCTCTCAGAGTCTAGGTACCCAGAAGCAGAGTCTAGTAGAGAGAAGGTATGGGTTCTGTTCTGAGTAGGGAAAGCAATTACGAGAATTTGGGGAATATATTCAGTGCCACAAAAGCTGAGAGCTGCCCTCCCTTATTCTACCAGCTGCCCAACTTTACAATCCATCTAATTCTAGAGATGTTGATCTTGAGTGTGGGTATACATATTACCTGACCAAATGAGAAAACTTTTCCCTCTGGGATTTCCTCAACATCATTTCACCTCAAGGATTAATCTAGCTATTTATGCTCCCCGCCTCGTTTACATTGCAGTGCTATTAATGGAAAAAAGAACAGCAAGCTTCACCTGTGCCACGCGGACACAATGTTCAGTACAATCGCTGCCCAAGACTAGTTCTCATGCCTAGAGCTTTCAGACTTGCTGTTCCAGTTGTGTCAGGCTGCCATCTTTACAAAACTGGACCTGAAAGATGCTTTTACAATATGGTCCAGATCTGGGAGGGAGACAAATGGAAGATTGCATTTCAGATCCAGTATGTACAATATGGAATATCATGATGCCCTTTGGTCTACATAATACCCTCACTATTTTGCAGGAGTTTATGGATGCCATCTTTCATGGGTGCCTGAATCCAAGAATGATGGTTTTGCTTAAACATGAAAAAAGACCTGTGGTCTCATCAGTATAGGTACCCCCTTCCAATGATGCATCTCAAAACCAATCCACTCCTTCTTCTCATGTGAAATTATTGTTCATGTCATCCTGTAAATCTTCCACCCAACAAACTGGGGACTGCCCCTAGACCTCTTGATACTTAATGGAGAGCAATGGATGGTCCATCCATCTTCTCTTCAATCTCCCTTCATGACCACCCTACCTTCTCTTCTGGTCACATATCATGATACTGTTCTTATATAATACTTTATTGATAACAGAGCCTATGAATGCCCATCATATAAGACCCTCAAATTTATTCTTCATTTACTATGGTATTCCATAACTAATAGCCATAAAACAGCTCCAGAAGATTACTGTTGTTTACTTAAATAAAAAGATGAACTTTTTTTTCAGAGAGCAGTCATTAAAAGCCTTGTACAACTTTCCAAAGGCAATCTGACCTACTCTCTTCCTCCTATTTAATTCTGGGCCAAGCTCATCAACCATGCCCAGTGTCTGTCCAAGACACATGTACTGAGGGACCAGTTTTACAGTTGCCCATCCAATCCCATAGCATAATCTGAACAATAAGCATCCACAATCCATTTTGTTTTTCCTGTGTAGATGTTGGGGCTGAACTATTTTGAATAATTATGAATCTCATTTGGGAGATTCTGCAGGTCTTCAAGGTTTGACATATCTAGCACAATGTCAATCACAACAGGAGTACCAGAGGGATCTCACCTTCTGTAGGGAATCCCACTTTGATTTGGACATCTGCTAGGATGGTGGTATACATCTCTCCAGTTTTATGCCTCCCTTGATAATAGCCAGAGATGGACCAGGAAAGTAGAATCAGTGGAAAGAAGATGGAATTGGAATCTTTAAGTCAGAGGATTTAGGTCTGCTGCATCCTAATTATATAATCTTGAGCAAGTGGCTTTACACCTGGGGGCCTCGTACATAAAATGAAGTGATTAGACTGGGTGATCTCTAAAGCCCCTTTCAGTTCTAATCTCTCAAAGTTCTGATATAGTCTAAAGAACACTGGATTCGGAGTTAGAAGACTCAAGTTTGACTCTCAGATTTGCTACTTAACAATCTGGGTGACCCTGAGTAAGTAATTCCACCTCTCTTGGCCTCAATTTCGTAATCTGCAAATGAGGGTGGGGTGGATTAGATTAAAAAGCCTCTAAGGTCCTTTCCAGCTCTAAACCTATGACCTCATTATCTTTCAACTCTATAATCTGTCAGATCCTGTTTCCCATACAACAACTAGGTCATCTCTTGCTTTGAGAATGCAGTTTGTTCATCACCTAACAAATAAAAATCCACCTCACCAAAGTTTACCAGAGTGAGCTCCCTGGATCTCATCAGAATGAATGCCCCAAGCACACACCCTCAGGTCATGTTTTATAGTTACATCTCATTCCATCAAAATGAAGGGAATCATGTAGCTATAAACTTTCAGGTTCTAGCTTGATCTTCTCATCCAGCCAGAACATTCTTGACTAAGTGAAATGATTTCTACCCCCTCAGATCTCCCCAATCCTCACATCACAAACTCCAGTCTCCACAATAGATGAAAACCCCAGAGAGCTGTCAACCATCCAGGAAAAACTCAAGGCCACACAGCAATCAGGTAAGGCCAAATACAAACTGGCAGTCCACTGGCATCAGACCACTGAGGAGACCCTGCAGTTAGGCAATCAGATACAGACCCCTAACCTGGAATCACTGCTCTGCTCATCCTTGGAAGATGCTGGAGTATTACTCCATCAGAATCTCATTGTCACCCTAGGTTGTAAAATCTATAGTCTTGCCCTTTAAACTCTCATTGTTCAGTTGTTTTAGTCATGTCTGAATCTTCCTGATCCCATGTTAGGGTTTTCTTGGCAAAGATACTGGAGCAATTTGCCATTTCCTTCTCCAGCTCATTTGACAGATGAGAAACTGAGGCAAACAGAGTTAAGTGACTTGCCCAGGGTCACACAGCTAGTAAATGTCTGAGGCTAGATTTGAACTTAGGAAGGTGAGTCTTCCTGATTCCAAGCCTGGTGCTCCATCCACTGCATCATCTAGCTACTGCTTGAGCTCTCATAGAAAGTGCTTAATAAAGTGCTTGTTGACTTGTTCCACATTCATGGTATTTTTCACCAATGCCTGATCTATGACATATAACTATATCTTAACCCTCCAACCCACAACCCCTCTTTCACCACCAAACCAAGTTGAAAGGAAGGAAGAAGGCATGAATATAAGGCCATGCTGGACTCCAGACAACAAGAAGGGAACCTGCCGAGTCTTATCCACTGGAAGGGTTTTAATCCAGAAAATCAAACCAGGTGGTTGGGCAACCCCACACAGTGCTTTTGGTATGCATTCCCTATCACTTTACTCCCACCAAACTGAAGCTTCAAGGTCAGGAAGTCATCTTAGGAGGAGTGGTAGTGGTTTTAGTTCTTACTGACATTTTCTGGGTCATGTAAGCAACAAAACGGAAAACCAAACATTTTCTCTAATCTCTATGACCTCTCAAATCTCTCCAAAATAAATTATGAGCCATAGATAAAGCAATTTCAGCTGTCTCTATGGTCTAGGACACCCAGAATCCAAAAGGTTTAAAAAAAAATACAAAGCCCATGAACCCAAGTCACTACCTCCCATGCTACTGGCAGTAAGACTGCACTAGCAGACCCAAGGATCCAATAAAGCTTACAACAAAACCCATCCTCCCACTCAGTCTCCCCTCTTTCCAGTGCCACAGAGACAGACCCCAGCTCCAGTTTGCAGAACCTTGCTCTGCTTTAACAGCCAGCCAGTATGGCCATAGCCCTTGAAGTGCAAAAGCCTGTCAGGGACAGACAACCCCATGGCACCAGGGCAGCAACTCTGAACAGACAGTGCCAGGTCAGAGAACTGAGAAACAGAGGGAGCAGGACAGGACACTGGGACAGGGACGACTGTGAAACACTCTACTAAGCCTGAGACGAAAAGCACAGCTTCCACATGGGACCAGTTCTGACCACTGAAAAGTCACTTGGGAAAGAGACCTAGGTTAGTTAACTATAAATTACTCAATGTAGGAGGATCCTGAAAAGCTTTTCAGACCCAAATCCAGACCCAAAGGAAACCACTATATGAAGGAAAGGAGTCAGAAAGTGAGCAAAGGGAAAACTTGGGCAGGGGGGGAAACTGAAATTACCAAAGAAGAAGAAAAAAAATTACTCAAGAAGAAGAAAACTCAAAGACTGAACAGAAACAGATAAATCAACAGGGAAGACATTAACTGAAAGAAATATGGCCTCCAAGATCTAGTAAACAAGTTCAGACATCTATGAATAAATATTTAAAAAAAAAAAAAGGAAAGTGATCCAGCACTTGATGAGACAGAGGACCCTGTGGAATGTGAGGAAAACATGGAACAACAGCATGCTATTCCTGAGTGTTTCAAAAGAGAAACTAAAATTATGAGTTCAGGACCTATGGCCTACACAACAAAAATAATGGACAGAATAGAAAAATTCAAATCTTCAATGACAAGTCTCACCAAAGAACCAAAAGTAAGAGTGCAAATATACAGAAGTGAAGTTCAATCTAGAAGAAGAAAAGTAAAAATGTTTTTAAAATAACATTAAAAGAAAGTAAGTTCACCATGCAAGCAAACACTGCTCTGGATTATAAGATACATAGAAAATAATCTAAGGACCAAAAGAACAGGACAAAAAACCTTAATACCATAATGCAGGAAACATTAGGAGAGAACTGTCGGGAACTTCTAAACACATAAATAAAATACCCATTGATAGAATACACAGATCACCTCCAGCAAATAACTCACGAGTGAAAACTGAAAGATACACAGGGGGTATATTTAACAATTCAATTCAGAAACAAGTTCTGTGAGCAAGCTGGTGAGGTGTCCTCTTTGAAAGACAAACAGTAATGTGGCTGCCATAAACCAACTCACCATTAAAAGAGAGCCATGCCGTGTAACAGGTCATTGTGTGACTTACTTTCCCATGCCCTCAGAAGTTCATGAGTAGTTGATCTGTTTCCCCAGAACCTGATCATAGCTTGCCTCTGTTTCTTCAGCTCATCTCAGTCACGTATTCCTGGCTTTTCTGCTTAACTCTTAGACCCAGCGTGGATAGCCTAAGCAACCATATGAAAGAATCACTGGACCTAGGTTCGAGTCTTATCTCTGCTATCCTAGTGAGTGGGGGATCCCGGGCAAGCCCCTTAACTTGTCTGGGTTTTTGCCTTTCTTTGTATCCCCAGTGCTGAGCATAGCTGTCGGTACCTAAGAAACACTTAACAAATATTTGTTGACTGACTAACTGATTCTCTGAGCCTCAGTTTCCTTCTCTGTAAAATAAGTGGGTTGGACTATGGTATGTCTTTCAGCTTTTAAGGGTACAAACCCATGATCCATCCATGGTTACTACTGCACCAATGACCTGTATTCACTTAGGACCTGGTTCATTGTGATGTCCCAATCCGTTTCTTTTTTTTAATTGAATACCAATCTGCCATGGAAATTAGCCTGTGCTATGTTACTCACAGTTCATTTCTTTGCCTATATATAGCACTCATGTCTTCACCCAACTGTCTAGCTCTTCCCACAATCTATGTGATGTTCTTAACACATAACTTCCTGCCACCTAGTGGTAGGATGTGACAAACACTGCCTCTATCTTCCCTAGCCAGGCTATTATGGCACCATGATTTCACTTGCGCTGCCCCAGTCAATAGGAAGTGATAATGGGATTATGGAATCATGGGGGTGGAAAGGATTAATCCTGGAGGCCAAGTAGCATCTGAACAAGGATGTCTTTTACTAGACAGAGAGACTGACTTACCACAGTTTCAAGAGTTTCCTTAAAGCCAGGAAACTCCGGGTTCAATTTTCACCTCTGAGATACCCTGTGACCCCGGGAAAATCATTTAACCTCTCAGCACCCTAGACAGCTCTCTAAATTAGAGAGAAAGTGTAGCTCTTTGTTAGTAGAGGTTAGCAGAGGGAGCTCCCCATACCAGTGAAATCATAGGTCTAATCCCTAGCCTATCCCCCAGCATTTAGCACAGTGTCTAAGCACAGGGTAAGTGATTAATAAACACTTGTCGGTTGATTGATTTAAGGTCTCCAACAAATGATCATTCAGCCTCCACTTGAAGACCTCCAGTGAAGGGAATTACTGCCTCCTAAGTCCGTCCATCCCATTTTTGAATGGCTGTAATGGTTACAAAGCTTGTCTTGGTGTAAAACTGCCTCCCTGCTCTGCCCTCCATCACCAAAACACCAAAGGAGGGGCAGGGGGGCAGGGGGTCATATCTTGCTTATTTTAATTGTAAACAAATGGAAGTTCTGATGATGGGATGTAAGTGTGTGTTAAGCTATGAATTTGTGGGCATTAAGGCTGTTCCCTGTTAACTCACAGGCTTTGTTAAAGTTGGGGGTACCCTAGTGGGTCCACCACCTCAGTTTGAGATACTAGGTCCTGACAGTACATGCTTGCTATGTGCTGGTCATTCCTTGCTGAAGGCATATTGGATCTCATAGAATCTCATCATTGGAAAGGCATTTCAGAAGCCATCCAGTCTAACCCAGGCCTGAGAAAGAATCCCCTCCACCTTTGTTCAAAAATGCTATTTAGATTACAACATTCAGCATGAGTCCATTTATACCCGTTTTTACATAAAGAAATATTGTATTTTGTCCAAAGCCCCCTCTGCATCTAGGTATGTTATCCTATTTTATTATTTTTATTAATATGGGCTGTTATGGTTTTTCAATACTAAACCAACCCTGCATTCCTGGTACAAATCTGACTTAGTCATAGTGCATAATATTTTAAATATGCTATGATAGCTTCTTTGCTACTATATTTTTGTCTCAATATTCACTCAAAATATTGCTCTAACTTTTTTTCTCTACTTTATCTCTCTTTGTTGTTGTTCAGTCACGTCCAACTCTTTGTAATCCTGTGGACGATATACTGTCCATAGGGGATACGGATGTGGTTTACCCTTTCCTTCTCCAGTGCATTAAGGTAAACAGAGATTAAGTGACTTACCCAGTATCACACAGCTGGTAACGCCCAAGGACAGATTTGAACTCAGGTCTTCCTGACTCCCGGCCCAGTGCTCTATTCATGAGCCACCTAGCTGCCTCTTTGGTTTAAGGTATTAGAACCATATTTGTCATAAAAGGAGTTTGGCACAATCCTTTCTTTCTCATTTTCACAAATAATATATATGAAATTCAATTAATTGTTTTTTGAATGGTTGATAGAATTAACTTCAAAAATTCATCTGGGCCTTTTTTTTTCTTTAGAAGCTCCTTTAAGATTGCTGTTCCATTACTTTTTTTCTGAGATTGGGTTAAGTTATCCATTTCTTATTCTACTAGTCTAGATACTTCATATTTTTGTAATTATCCATTTCATTTATGAGTATTATTGGCATGTAATTAAGCAAAATATTTTCTAATAATTTTCTTTATTTTCTTTTGTTATAAATTCTCTTTTAGTTTTAACAAGTTGCTTTTCAGGGCAGCTAGGTGACCCCAATTGCCTCATAAAAACAAAATTGGTTTTCTCTTTTATAACAGGTTATCTAAAAATTTATCTATTCTATTAGTTGGGGGGTGTTTGTTTCTTTTTCAAAAGATCTACTCCTGGTTTTAATTATAACTTCAATGAGTTTTCTGTTTCCAATTCTATGTCTTCTTTGATTTTCAGAATTTCTATTTTTGTATTTTCTATTGTTTAGTCTAAGTCATGTCCAACTCTTTGTGATTCCATTTGGGGTTTTCTTGGCAAAGATACTAGAGTAGTTTGCCATTTCCTTCTTCCGCTCATTTGACAGATGAGGAAACTGAGGCAAACAGGGTGAAGTGACTTGCCCAGAGTCACACACCTAGCAAGTGTCTGAGGCTGGATTTGAACTCAGGAAGATGAGTCTTCCTGGCTTCAGGCCCAATGCTCTATCCAGTGCATCACCTAGCCGTCCTAATTTTTGTGTTTGGTTGGGGTTTTTTTTATGCATATCCAATTCATTTATTTGTTCTTTCTTTTGTTGATGAAAGTATTTAAAGATATAAACTCTCTCCTAAAGACTTCTTTAGCCACATCCCAAAAGTTTTGATATGTTCTCTCATTGTCACTTTCTTTAATGTAATTCTGTGTTAGTTCTGATCTTTGACAGACCAATTATTTAAATTATCTAGTCTCCATCGGTTCTTTCATTTTAAGTGGAGGAGAGTAGAGATTATGACCTTAAGTTTTGAAAAATCAGGGGAATAAGCCACTAAGAGGTTTGAGAATAGATTCCATGTTCAGATTTGCAGCCACCCAACCCTACTTTGAGACCCAGAGATGAGAAGAGAGGAGCAGTCTGAATTTCAGTATGCAGCCCAGAAATGACTGAGACAAGGACTCATCTAATAACAGTGCCTCTTTTGGCTGTGAACTTCCTGACACCAGTGCATTAAGTCTGAGCCCAATCTGCCCAAAAAGTGAAGTGATATGGAAGAAATTGTTCCCCCCACCCACCCAGGTGTTGGGGGAAGGGTTTACATTTCTTTACTTTCTATCTTCAAAATAAATATCCCTTTGTAAAAACTAAATAATCACAATGATCTATCACAGAAATAGTCTGTTACACCCCTCCCACTCCTCCTTCTCCCAGTCTCTGGTTCTTTCACTTCTCTAATTTTTCCTTTATGATCCACACTTCAAAGATAAAGTTTTTCTTGTGACTGTTCCTTCCCCAACTCTATTCTCCCTCTTATACTCTTCTTCCCTTTCCTTGTCCCCAATAGCTAGGCAGCTAGGTAAAGTAGTAGATAGAATCAGGACACTTTGGGTCTGGAATCAGGAAAATCTGAGCTGTTGACAGGGGAGTATCCGTAGAAAGCACCCCCACCTCCCTTACCCAGTATCATATGGTGGGAAGGTGGCTTCCTAAATGGAATTCTGATCCCCTGAACTTTTTCTTCCCTAGGATTCTACCAAAATTGAGATTTTCAGGGCAGGATCTGACTTTCTCAGTCCCTGATTCCTTTGTTCTAAGGAAGTTTGCTGGAGTTTGCAAAGATCCAAGACCTTTCGGTTGAGAATTGTTTAGCAATGTTTTTCCTGTCTCTGTCCCTATCTCTGTCTCTTTTTCTCTCTCTCCTCTCCTCATCTGACTCTCTCTCTCTCTCTCTCTCTCTCTCTCTCTCTCTCTCTCTCAGTCTCTTGGTCTCTCTCTGACCCTCTCTAACTCTATCTCTATCTCTATCTCTCTTACTCTGTCTCTGTCTCTATCTCTCCCTCCTCTGTCTCTCTCTTTCTGTCTCTGTCTCTTTCTCTCTGTCCCTCTGTCTCTCTGTCTCTGTCTCTCTGTCTCTGTCTGTCTCTGTCTCTATCTCTCCTCCTCCCCCTCCTGCCCCTCAGCTTATGCTGTACCAGGATATAAAGCAAGTTAAAAAAGACTTTGTTTTTGAGATGAAGAATATCTCATCTCCTAAGGGTAGAAGAGTAATACAGGGGCAAGGACTGAGCCTGGGACAAAGAACCCTAGAGCTTCTGTTTACCGAGGGTGGGACCTGTTGCTCAGCATCCTGAAGATTCTCCATCCAGAATTCGGTGATCTTAATGTTTCCCTACCAGGGAATGGTTCAACCATGGATTTTCCTGGCTACCTCCTTCTTGAGTAGTTTTCCATAGTCCCCTTGAGGACATCTGACACTCACCACCTTACATCATCTTCTGCCACCTTTCCTGGTGCCATCCTATTTCCAGGTTCCTCCTCACAGCTTTAGAGACAGGAGACATGCATAGTTCAAATATGTACATGGAGAAGTTGCCTCTGCCATCCACCAGTATCCCTGAACTCACATGGAAATCCCAGGAAGATGAGGAAAAAAGCAAAGGTAAGCCATGCATTAGTCAGGTCTAAGGATTGGGGAATGAGACTTGAGGAGGAAAAGGCTCATATCCCTGCCCAAACTTCTGAGCTGATGGGGGCAGAGAGGGAGAGGTGAGAAGGGAAGATGCTGAATCCCTAGTGTAAGTTCAACACTGCTGAGAAAAGAGACTGTATTTCCCCAGGCCATCCCCTACAGCCAGATACCTGGCCGCAAGACAGTTCCTCCCCACCCCCACCCCTACATCCCACCCCACTCCCTCAAATGCCAGATATCTGGCCCCAGTAGGGTTCCTCCCCCCTACTCCCACTCCCCTACTGCCAGATATCTGACCCCAGGATGGTTTCCTCCCCCCCCACTCCTCCTACTGCCAGATATCTGGCCCCAGTAGGGTTCCTCCCTCCTACTCCCACTCCCCTACTGCCAGGTACCTGGCCCCAGGATGGTTCCTCCCCCTTTCTACTCTGACTCCTTACTCTCCTCACACACATCCCTCCCCTTACTCCCCCCCCCAACATGTGAGGCTAGGCTTGTCTCTTCAATTCCCAGTTTGCACTGGAATCCTACCTCACTACTTAGCACAGTAGCTCTCTCTCCCTTGGGTTTCCTCCCCATCATGCCTCTTTCCTGCTCTTGCCCCTATAGCTCAACACAATGTTACTGATTACAACCACAGAATCCCTTCCTGTCACCAGGTATGAACCTGAATTCTGCTGCTCTGTGGGGCTAAATCTTTGTCTCATATCCAGAGTCCTGGCTCTGAAGAGGCAAGAATGTTCACAGCCTGCCCATCTCTTCTCAGTAGCAGTTGCAGACAATCCCAGCATTCTCTCTGGGTGCCAGAGAGCCCATAGCCTCAACTTGAGGTTTACAGCTGGCTGTGGGAGGGAACGGCCTTCATTAGCCAAGGGTCATTCAACTGGATGTTAGATTTGTCTGTCCAATCCTCATCTTCCCTCAGTGTCTTTCTCTCTCCCCAGTCCCATTGCCCTTTCACCGTTCTGCCATATAAAGATCAGTTAACGAAAATTCAATGAGCATTTATTAAGTGTCTACAATTTGCAAGGCATTGTTCTAGATTCTGAAAATAGAACTTCTTGCTCTGAAGGAGTTTACATTCTACTGGAAGAAAATGAGAATGTTTAGCCTTGAGAAGACTCAATGGGATAAGAAAGTTTAACTTCAAGTGAACTTGTCCTTAGCATAATGTGTGACACATTGAAGGTGCTTAATAAATGTTCAATTGGGGCAGCTAGGTGGCTCAGTGGACAAAGCACTGGCCTTGGAGTCAGGAGGACCTGAGTTCAAATCTGGCCTCAGACATATAATACTAGCTATGTGACTCTGGGCAAGTCACTTAACCCCAATTGCCTCACCCCCCAAAAAAAAATGCTCAGTGACTTGACTTGTGATTGGGGCCAGAAGCCAGAGCTAAGAGCATGGGGGGGGAAGTAAGAAAGCTAAACTTGATGAAAAAACAAATGAACAATTGAAGCTGTCCCAAGTAAGAGAGCCTGGAGGAGTTCAGGCTAAGACCAGCTGCCTTGTCCATGGTATTGTACAGCATCTTCTGGATCACATAGGCATTGAACTAAGGACCTCTAAGGACCTTTTCCACCCTGAAATTCTGGGATTCTATGAAATCATAAGCCCTTTAATGGTGCTTTGAGATCACTAGAAGAAAAGAGTAATACATTAAAGGCACAAGTACAGGTAAAGAGAAGACGCAGCTGTCCCTCATTGCTGACCACATGATGATTGACAGAGTGCTTTGAGATCCCCAGATGGCTAGGGAGCTGAAGGCTACTCTTCTTCCTCAGATGTGGTACCTGTGGAAATTGAGCCTGCTTTCCTACCTAGACTCTGGGTATCCAACCTGAGAGAGGGGAAAACACCCTAATTTTCTCCCTAGCTTGAAGTTCCTAGCAGGAAGCCTAAGATACATACTGGAAATCGCAAGATATGGTTCTATTTCTTTCCCTTACTAGCTGTGTGACCTTAGGTAAGTCACTTAGACTGTATCTGTAAAATGGGGTTACTAATGTTGTACTACCTATCACTCAATTCAGGAGAGTGCTAGGTGATACAATGGACAAAGTGTTAGACTTAGAGTCAGGAAGACCTGAATTTGAATCCTGCCTCAGACCCTGCTTATGTGACCCTGGGCATCCCTTTCTCGGCTTCAGTTTCCTCATCTGTAAAATCATGGGTAATAATAGCACCCACCTCCCAGAATTATTGTGAGAACCAAACCTCCCAGAGTTATGATGAGCACAGTGCCTGGCACATAGTAGGCACTTTATAAATATTTATTGGATTGGACCAAAATGAAGTAATATATGTAAAGTGCTTTTCAACACTTAAAGTTATGTAAATGCTAGCTACTGGATTATAATTCTTATACATATGTTCACCAGCTGGTGTCAGCAATATTCCCACCGTCCCCCTTCATATGGAGAAAGTCAACCCCCAGGAAGCCCAAGAACTCCAGCCATGTAATGAGATACCCAGCTATCTGCATGGTACCAGAACTGAAGGTTCCACACAAGGACTGGGAGTAAGATAACAATTGACGAAGCAGGCACAGTATCCCTAATCAAGGGTTTGGGCAAGGCAGTGGGTATAGGCAGGGGTCAACCATGCCACTTGACCCAGCTCCTTCTACCCTCCAAGACATCTAAATCCACAACGGAAGCACCTTCTGCACAACCTTAGAAGGAAGGAAAAACAGACAAGAGGGAGGAGATCACTTGGGTGGAGAGGCTAACTGGGAAAATGGTCACTCTAAACCATCCAGCCAACCATGAACAGAAAAAACCACTAGGATAATGAATAATGTCAAGGAAGAGTGAGACTCGAGGCTAAATTCAACCAACTCTCTTACTCTTAGAGAATTCACTTTGAATCTTTCCCACCATGATTGTTTCCCTGACCTCTAGTAAAATAAGGTCTCTGGGGAAGGGGGGTGAGGAGGGGCCATGATTTTTGGAATATAGGAATGACAGGGGAGACTGGAGAAAGGGAGGCAGGACTACCCATCCCATTTGCCCAGCCAGGTCCTGTAACATTCAAAAAACAGAGAGTTAAATTCTCAACACAAAAGATCCAAGTGTTTGAGGACCGCCTTATACATCCCTTGAAGTGGCAGAGGCTAAAGGTGGGTAATAAGCCTGACAGGAGGAGGAGGGGCTGCAAAGGAGTTCCACACATTCCCCAATTCTTCTCCTGGATCTGGGGAGAGTAGCCCTGTGAACATGCCTCCTGGACCTCATGTCACTCCTCACCCTCTGAATTCCTTTCTGTGTCCTTGGGTTGGCAGGACCTCACCCACAGCCTGAGTTCTCCCGTGGAGGCTGAACAGGTCTATGCAGCTCAGGTGAGGGGATATGAAGGCCCCAATGACAGAGGCGGGTGGGGAAAATTCAAATTCTAAATCCCAGTTGTGTCCAGAATAATCATGGATCAATCTTATCCCTAACTCCCCCCCAAACCCCAAAGCACATTCCTTTTTTATTTGCCTTTCCCCTCCACACCCAACCACCACCCTTACATGGGTCATGAGGGACCATGGTGAAGCATTCCCCATCTTGGTGAGGACTGAGGCCTAACCTTTTTTGTGGATCCTCCAGGCCTTGGGGAAACTGAGAATCAGCAAGACGTTTATCATAGAAGCACTCTGGGCCTCGGTAAGTTGAAGAGGAAAATCAGCCTTGGACTGTGAGAAAAACAGCATATGGGGACATGTGGGCCCTTCTGAGATAGTGGCAAGTTTGTAACTGGCCATAGGCATGGGCCACCCTGGGTGGGAAAGCAAGAGGGAGAAGGGAGGTCAGTCTCCTTAAGTCAAGTAGAATGAAGTGAGGACTCGGGAATGCCTTCTCAGGAGCCCTACAGTATAGGGTGATGAAGAGACACAAATAAGTGTTTTGCTCATGGCCCTATTGCTTTACTCCCTTGAGTGGGTGTAGAAATACCAGGGGACAAAGGAGTGGGAGAGGTTGCTGACCCCCAACTCCCTAACTCCTAACAGGCCCAGGTAGGTCCTGAGAGAGTGAGGTATGAATCCAGCAGAACCCTTGCTCTTCTAGGTAAGTAGGTCCTCTCTCTATGGGGGAAGGTGGGAAGAGACTATAATATTCTCACATAGAATATTGTACATATATTATCATTCAACAACTCCGGAAGGTAGGTGTTATTGTTATTCCCATTTTGCAGATGATGTAACTGAGGCGAATTGTGAGGGAGAGTGGTTGAGAGAGCATGGTTCCAATGAGTGCCTGAACAGGGGATAGAGTGGAGGGAAGGGACCTTGGAGGACAATGTTCCCCTGGGCTCTGCCTCTTACCTAAAGCCTCTCTTGTCTAGGCTGCCTGCATAAACATGTGGTCCTGTCTCTCATTGAACAACTAAAGGGATGCTCCCTTAGTCGGAGGATGGACACCCTGGTGGGACTTCATATGGCCCTCAATGCCTGGATCATGCTCGCCAAAAACAAGGTAATTGGGGAAGGGGAGGGTTTGACAAAATTCACTGGGTGCAAGGTGGGGCCAGAAGAAGGAAAGAGAATAAAGCAATTGGTAGAAACAAGAGAATAGGGGAAAGCCAATCTGAGGGGAGGAGAGAGTAAGGTAGGTGGTAGTGAGAATATAACCTAGGAAATAATGAAGGTATCACATTCAGGCAGAGTCTGGCTTCTCAGATTCACTCATCTGTAAATTAACATTTCTTGAAGGTTGCTGCGAGGGAACACAAAAGAAAGAGATAAGGTAGTCACCTGTCCTAAGAGAAAGATGGAGAAAGGGAAGAAACATTTATTAAGTTCCTACTATGTGCCAGACACTGTACTAAGTGTTTTTTACAAATATCTCATTTGATCCTCACATCAACCCTGGGAAGTAGGTGCCCCTATCCTCGTCACTCTGTAGTTAACAGATGTTAAGTGACTTGCCAGGGCCACATAGCTAATAATTGCTTGAGGTTGGAATTGAACTTAGTTCTTCCTGAATCCAAGCCCAGTGCTCTAAAAATTGTACCACCTCACTCAAATATTCTTAGTTTGGAAGCTCTATAAGGATAGGGAAGGAGTGTTCTAAGTATTCTATCTCCCAGCCCCAGGGAGATACAAGGAGCACTCCAAGGTACTGAAATTCCCAGATAGGAAGAGAGAAACAACCCCTGTTTCTCAGGTAGCTCTTAATCTGACCACAGATGACTCAGTACTTGAGTGAGAAGCCAAGGTGTTCACATAAAAGTGCATAAGAATTTGGAGAAGATTGTATATGGGTCGAGATACATGCAGAGAAAGAGAGCACTAAGTCAAGCTATAGTAGGGGTCAGGCGGCAGGGTAACAGGAAAAACATCTCATACTTTCTCATTCACATGCCTACACTCCTCCCCAGAGGGAGCCTATAGGGGCCAAGAGCTCGCTGACCAGGGTCCTGAAGTTGCTGGTGAAGGGGAAGAGCCCTATGGACAATGTGGCTCTGGAAGCAGCTCTGTGCCTGAGCTTCCTTGACCCTGAAAATTCCATAGCACGCGACTTTCTGCTCCAGTGCCTGACCCAAGGAGAAATGAAGAGAAAGAAAAAGGTATGGGGTGCAAGGCATGGAGGCTGGGCTGAGGAATCTTCCATCACAACCAAGGTAGCCCTTCCTTTGTCCAAGAAGGCCAACACAAGCCCTGGCCCCTTCTGGCTGTGTCTTCCAGTGGGAAATCAATCAGTAAACATTTATTAAGCACCTACTGTGTGTCAGGCACTGTGCTAAGTGCTGGGGATACAAAAAAAAAGCCAAAAAAAAAAACCCAGTTTCTGCCCACAAGGAGGTGAGAGTCCAATAGGGGAGATAGAGGAGAAGGGAAATGGGGCAGTGGTCTGAGAGACCAGGGCAAGGAGCTAAATGAGCTCTAGATTTTCCCATTGTTGAGTTGATTGCAACATCAGAGAACATGTGTCTGATGTGTGTATATTTAGCGTGTGAGTACGTGTGTTCACACTGAGCCCCTGAGATTAAGGAGTGCTCATTGCCCCCCTTCCTCCTTTAACAACAACCCCACCCCACCCTGATTCACCACCCAGTTTTGTTCCTTCTCCGGAGAAGGCAGCCTTGGTACTGGGAAGAGCACACTGGATTTGGAGTCAGACAAGCTGGCTTTGAATCCCAGCTCTCATATTTACTTCCCTGTGGAGCCTTGGGCAAGTCATCATTAAGACTTTGTAGGCCTGTTTTCTTATCCACAAACTATGTATGTGTTGGAGCTGGTATATGAGAGGAGGGGGGGTATTGAACAAGAGGATCACTGAGGTCCCTTCCACTTCTGAATCACACAATGATTTGCACCTTCCCCTTTCCCTCCTCTGAAACTGTCTTTTGGTTCCCAAAGCCTTCTTGGTTTTGTCCTACCATTCCCAACTCCATCTGTCTCTGATCTATGTTGGCCAAGGTCCTCCAGGCTCTTCTTCCCATCCTTTTCCACTCAGTTCTCCCAATTCACTTCCCCAAACCCCTTGGGTACACCTCACTCTCACTCCCACTCTGTTTCCCATTCTCCCTTAATCTTTTAACCACCCTAGGCATTGATGGTGCTAGTGAAGCTAATGAATGTACACACCCTGCCTGTCCTCCGGGCTGCCATGGAGCAAATACGGAACTCTTGTGTGGCCAAGGTGGGAATTGTCCCTGACAGCCACTGTGTTCCCGACAGAACTAGGCAGGGCAAGGGTGGTGGGGTAGGGTGGGGAGGGAGGAGAGAGAATTTGCTAGGAGCCCACTCTTCCCTTTTCCCCACATCTTATCCAGGAAATTCATTGCCCCTTCTAACAAGCCCCAAACCCATGAGGTATGCCCACCCCACACATTTTCCTCCATTTCTCTTCCATCCTCAGCACCGGTTAGAAGCCATCAAACTGCTTAAGATTATTGGGCTAGAGAAGATTCAGAATTTGGGGATGGAGAAGGACTTTTTTGAGCTACTCAGGTTCAAGGTTCACAATGATCCCTTACAAGTGAGTTCCCTTTCCCCCATTCCCCCCTCTTCTCTCTCTTCTTGTCAATCTCTCCTTTCATGCCACCCTCTCCCTTCTTACTCCCATCTCTCCTGACCCCCAGGAAGTGAGAGAAGCTGTGGCAGAAATGGTGGAGGTGCTAAAAATGAAGCCGATGATGCTGAACATTGTGGAGTCGTGAGGAACTTGGGAACTAAGAATGGGGGTGGAGGGAAGAAAGGCCCTCACTGGGCCTGTAGGAACTGTCGACTCCAAGGGGAAAGGAGCCCTGCCTGCTATTGGGAGGTGGAGGGCAATGTGAGACCAGAAGTTAATCTCTTGCTTTCATTGCCCCAGTAGAGAGTGGGGAGTTTGGTTTTCGGGAAATATCCTTTCCCTCATCTGGGGATCCTGGGATACAAGGGCAGAGGGTACTGGATGAGACTAAGGGTAGGGCTGGAATGAAAGGAGAAGGATGGAATAGGGTGGGAGATTGGAGGATGAGGAATGAAGTGATGTACACTGGAAGGGAACTGTCCCAAAGCGGAGGAGGTGTGGTGCCCATAAGTGTTTCCCCCAAGGGAGCAGAAAGTGAAGGAAAGAGACTTAAAATGTCCAGAAGATTTGGGTTTGTATACTTCCTCAGACATTTTCTAGCTGCATAACCCTGGATAAGTCACTTGTAATTTTTCTGGACCTCAGTTTCCCACCTTAAAGGAGGAAGTTGGACTGAGTGGCTTCAAAGATCCTTTTCAGCTTTAAATATATTATTGTATAGAAGAGGGGGTAGAGAGGGATAGAGCCAGAGGTCTTATGAAAGTAGTGGGATTATGATGAGATGGAGAAGCAATGAGGTGAAGAGTGTGGGATGGAATGAAGAACAGGGGAGGGTGGTATATGATAAGGGTCGGTGTCATGAGATAAGGGATGAGATGAAAGATAGGAGAACAGATGGGCAGGAAGGAATGGATGAGGTAGAAAAGTAGGGAGGAAAAGTGAGGGATGGGATGAGGGGATCAGGTGATAGTAGGGACAATAAGATGAGGTAGAGATGGAATGAAGTTGGAAATATGAGCAGGTTTGAATAATGGAGTGGAGGTAGGATGGGGAGAATGGAGCAGGGTGAGAATAAGTGGGAAATGAGATGAAGGGTAGGATGGGAAGTAGGGGAATTGGATGGGAGTGATGAGAATTGGCATGGAGAAAGGGGAGGAAATGAACATTTATATAGTGCCTACCATGTGTTGGTCACTGTTCTATGTGCTTTTTACAAATATCCCATTTGAGATAATGGGGGTGAAGATGAGAATGGGATGACAGAAGGAAATCAAGACATGAAAGTGGAATATTTGGGGAAATCGGGGTTGGAAATGAAAGTTCTGGGGTGATCACTGTAGATGTGATGGAAGATTTCTCAAGTCCCAGGCATTGTCTTAACCTTGCTTCCTTGCTTATGTGGTAGATAATATGATTTATCAGCAAAACAGGCATAATAAATGGGCCAGTGGACTCCCCAGTCAGTCCACAGACCTATTTATTATGCCTGTTTTGGTAAATATAGCTCAGATTCTTTTTTTTTTTCACTTTCTGGTGAGGCAATCAGGGTTAAGTGACTTGCCCCAGGGGTCACACAGCTAGTCAAATGTCTGAGGCCAGATTTGAATTCAGGTTTTCCTGACTCCAAGGCCAGAGCTCTATCCACTGCGCCACCTCACTGCCCTTGCTCAGATTATTCTCCACCACAATTAGAACAGCTAAGAGTTCATCAGCCCACAATCGTTTTCCCAACCCTTTCTCTTTAGCCTGAGAGGTACGAGGTATAAAGTCAGTCAGCCAACAAGCATCTACTAAGTGATCACTGTGTGCCAGTCATGGTCAATCAGACAGCGAATTAGAACGGCCCCACTACTTGGGCAAAGAGAGCACTGGTTAATGGAGGACTGATCCTTCTCTTCTTCCTTCCTTTCCTCTCCCAATGACCCTTCCCTCTATTCCTTTCTACCCAGGCAGCTTAATGACGCCAGTGCCTTGGTACGTCACGAGGCTGTCATTTCCATTGTAAGGCCAACTAAATTGATTTCTTCCTTCCTACCCCTATTGTCAATCAGTCAGCAGCATTTATTAGGCACCTACCGTGTATTGGGCACTCCACCCATAAGTCCTCACCAGTTAGGTGATGAGAAGGAAGGGAAAAAGACAGGAAGGGAAGGCATGGTGGGTTAAGATAAGCTGGAGAGGAAAGCAGGGAAGAAGGAATGGGAGAGTACACAACACTGCTGAGAATCTATAGTAATGGAGTGCCCATTCCTGAGGGCTCAGACATGGAAGACTTTGCTCAGGCACCGGTCGTGTGGCCTAAGTCTGAGTAGGGCAAGGAATAGTGAAAGGGCCACAGGCCATGAAGCCTTGACTCCTTCAGCCCAGACACCAGCTGCACAATCCCAGATCAGCCTACCATGAGACTAGCAGGGAAGTTCAGCAATGTCACCTTGAACTTCAGTGGGTTTCCTCTGTATCACCCCCATAAGACCCAGACAAGTGGTGGGATGTGGGGGGAGGCATCAAAAGACTATACTTGGTACCACTTCCCAGGGCTGGATACCTAGGATCTTTTACCTTTGCCTCCTACCAGGGTGTTCTGGGCATTTGCAGCTCACGCATGTTCTATTTCCTCATGGACATGCTGGACCTGGAAACGAGTCCATTGGTAAGAAAAGAGGTGAGTGGTCCCTTTCCTCCCACCCTCTCCTTCTGTGCCATACTCCCCACCCCACTCCCATCATCCCTACTGCTGACAGACCCCACTGTTCCAAAAGCTTCCCTGTCACCTGCTCAGTGAAATCCACGTTCCACAGCCTGGCGTTCAAAAGCCCAACCCCAACCTACTGCCCCCATCTTAGTTTTCTAGAACTTCCCTACGCAGTCCTTTCATTTAAGCCAGATCTATCTGCTTCCCAACCTCCTAGTCAGATCATGGTACATGCTTCATAGTTCTATATCCATGGTTCATGCTTCATGGAATTCCTTCCCTACTACTCTCTCCCTATTCAAAGGCCTCAAGGCCTAGCTCAAACATCACCTCTTACATGAAGCCTCCCCTTATTACCCCAGTCAGAAATGAGTTTGGAGGAGGGAGATATTCTTATAATGTATGCCCTGCATAATGATACAGGTGGTATCATCTTATACTGTTACTTTCATGCTTCACACATGCAGGTCATGCATCTACACACTCTTGTCCAGCCGTGGGGTCTCATGGGGTCGAGTGTAAGGTCCTGCAGAGAGTGGGTGGCCGACAAATAGAATATAAAAGAGCATAAGGCCCTTGAGGATGGTGATTGGTTTCTTTTTCATCAGAATTTCTGACACCGGGCAAAATGCTTGGCACGAAGTAGGTGATTAATAAAATTTTGTTGAATTGAATTGAGGTAGCTAGGTGTCATGGTGGAAAGCACTGGACTTGAAGTCAGGAAGATTTGAGTTTGAATATTGCCTAAGACACTTACTACCTGTGTATTTCTGAAGTCCTTTAACCTCTCTCAGACTCAGTTTCCTCATCTGTAAAATGGGTATAATAATGGCACTTCCCTTTCATAGTGATTGCGAGGCTCAAATGAGGTAATATATGTAGAGCGCTTTGTAAAACCTTAAAGCAAATATATGTTGATGTTTTTGCTGTTATAATTATTATTATAAAATGGTTAGAAGTCAGCTAGCTCAACCTCATTCACATATAGGGAAACTGAGGCCCAAACAAGAGGAACGGCTTGCTCAAGGTCATCCTGCTCATTAATGTCATAGCCGAACTTGAGTTCTGGTGTAGGACTCTTACTGCTTCATGGTCCTCAATTGTCTACCCTCCTTCTCCCTGCTCAAAACCCTAGTTCTTTGAGAGTTGGAGAGGAAGGAGGAGCAAAGACTCCTTGACCTGGCCTCCTGAAAATGGGCCATACTATTCTCCGAGCTTACTCTCCACTCCAGGCCAGAAAGAGTCTGTGCCTGGAGTGAACCAGCCCCTGGCTCTTACGATATTTTTTTAATAGCTGGAAAAAATATTCATTACCCTATCCAAGAAAGATCCCTGGATCCGGGAAAAGCTTCAGGACTGGAAGCTCCTGATGGAGGAGGAGTCCAGGCAGGAAAGGGAAAGAATCCAGACTTTGGAGTTTCAAAAGATGAAGAGGGACCTCCAAGACCAAAAGAAATCTCTGCTCAAAGGCCTGGGCCCCTTGATCCCTCGAAAGATGGTTCAACCTAAGAAGGCCATGGCCGACAAAGGAAAGTCCATCCTTAGTGTTCCTATCAAAGGCATGGCTTTAGCCTCCCACTACCCCCCTTGCATCAAATTGGTTGATAAAAAGGATCATATGTTTTCTAAGGGATCCTGGGATTCCCCAGTCATCAGGAAACACCTCAAGAATCTTGCTTCCCATTGAGTCGAGTCAAGTCTATCCTAACAACTCCCCTTCAGCATTAACTTTCCTCTTCTCCCTCCACCACCACCACCTCCATTTTCTCTCCTCTGGACACACTGCCTCCATTTCCTCTGTGGTAGCAGATTTCTGAGCCTCTGTCTCATACACTAGTTAATAAATAATGAATGCTAATTTGTCCCAAAACATCATTCTTATTTCAGTCAGTATGTTAATAAATATTTACTAAGTGTCTACTATGTACCAACTATGCGTGGGAGACATAAAAAGAGGTAAAAGACAGTCGGTCCTCAAGGAGCTTGCAGCCTAATGGGAAGATAACATGCAATCAAATATACACAACCAAGTTGTACATAGGATAAATAGAAAATAATTAAGAGAGGGAAGGGACTAGCGTTAACAGGGGTTAAGAAAAGTTTCCTGTGGGATTTTATTTGGGACTTAAAGGAAGCCAGGGAGGTCAGTAGTCGGAGTGGAAGAGGGAGGACATTCCAGGCATGCGGGGCAGGCAGAGAAAATGCCTGGAGCCAAGAGCTGGAATGTCTTGTTCACTGAGCAGAGAGGTGGCCAGTGTCATCAGACTGAGGTTAGTAAAGTGTAAGAAGATCGCTGGTTATTTGGAGAGAGTAGTTTTGCTGGAATGATGAAGTTAGAAGCCAGATTGTAAGAGGTTGAAAAGAGAAGTGAAGACACAGCCTTTCCAAGGAGTTTACCCACAAAGGGCAGAAGGGATACAGGATGATTGCACATGAGGCAGCTGGGTAACTCAGTAAACAGAACTCTGAGCCTGGAGTCAGAAAGATCTGAGTTCAAATCTTGCCTCAGACAGTAGCCGTATCACCCTGGACAAGTATTTAACACTCTGCTTGCCTTAATTCACTGGAGAAGGAAATAACAAACCACTCTCATATCTTTACCAAGAAAAACTCCATTGACAGGTGTGCTATTATCCATGGGGGTCACGAAGAGTTGAACATGACCCCCACGTGTACACTGTAATATAATTTTGCTGAGGGCAACTTAACCAAAACACAAAAGAACCCAAAATCCAAGTTTGGGTGCATCATCACAAGTCTTGGGTGTGGTGATCCAAAATAAAAAATTATTTGAATAGATACAGAACTTGAGGGGACCCAAAGTAAGTTATGGCCATCCCCAGCATTCCGAGAGAGTTACTGAGGTCAGGTGACATTCTGGACATAGACATTCTTTGATGACATATGGTTGGATTTAAGTAGAATAATTTTTCCCAAACAATATAAGAAATAATTTTTCCCACACACTTCTAGGTTTATATCCCAAAGAAATCAAAGAAAGAGGAGTACTCATACGTACAAAAATATATCAGCATTTTTTTTGTTATAGCAAAGAACTGAAAATCAAATGATCAAATTGGGAAGATCAAACAAATTACAGTATATGAATCCTCTCAATTCCAAATCAGTTCTCTCCACTGCACCACACTGCATCCTAGTAAAAGCGTGCTCTGTACCCATCTTGGATGGGTACAATCTCCTACATCTCAAATAGAATTGTAACAGAATTCCTTCACAATCTCTCTGATCCTTTAAACAGAAGAGAGATACAGCCACTTTAGAACTCAAAGCTTCCACAGTAAAGGGCTTTGGGTGAGGTGTCACATCATTGGCCTATACATCGGCTACTCCAGTCAGAAGGGATATTCCATCTCGCCACCACCAATACCAGGGGCCAAACAAATGTCACCAATCAGGCAGGTAAGCCAGCCTAGAGGTAACCTGAGGGACAAGAGACAGCATGTGCTAAACACCACCTTTACCATCACCTCCCCTAAGATCCCAATAGAGATAGCTTAGAACCCTCAGCCCAACATCTTCTGGAATAGCTGCTCTCTCCCTTCCCCCTTGCCATAGATTGCCAGTCCTACTTCTGACCTGGACCCCACAGCCATAGGCTAGGGAAGCAACCCTGGTGAAGATGGAACTGGCAAGTCCCTCTGCAGAGATAGCCAGCACACTAAATGACAGTCTACATCCAAAAAGATGGCAGCAGGTTAGAACATTAAGCTGAAAGTGAAATTTAATAGGGTTGTGTAGTACGTCACTAGGGCTGACTAGGATATTCTGGTAGCTCAGGTTCAAGATTAAAATTAAATGAGATTCTCCCCAGTGCACCCGAGCAAAAGGAAGGTTACCTAGGTGTGGCAGGGGAAAGATATTTTACAAGGAGAAAATATGGGTGAGTACAGCATTTCATGCTACTATTGTTTATGTTGCTGGTCTGCTGTTCAAAAGCTTTAGGGATCAGCCTCTGACTTTTCACCTGAGATGACCAGGAAATCTACAACAACTGCCTGGATCTTAGCCTCCTGAGGTAATTTCTGACATGCCCCCATATCTAGCTAGAAATTTTCATTCCCTTATGATATGTTGTTCATTGGTGCCTCTCTGCAGTTGACATAGGAGGTATCAAACTGGTCGGATGTTTATGGTTCAATCCCGAAGTACACTGGGCCTTCTTTCCCATCAGAGAGCCACTCTGTTGTATGGAAGAACCTAAGTATGCCCACAATAGACTTGGAAGAGGGTAAGAAATGTAGTATGGCCTTGGTAATGGACTCACATACTCATCAACTCCCTTCTTTGAGAAACCTCAATATCCTCTCATCCACTTAATCTCAGAAGTATACTGCCCCTTTAGAGATCCATTTGTCTCCTTTTCTCTATGCTGACAAAATGTATCTTCTTCTTTCCTTTCCCTCTTCCTAAAGCTCTTCCCATATTCCTATTCCTGGCTCTGCTTACTTCACTTTGTATCAGTTTATGTAAGTATTCCATATTTCTCTATATTCATCTGTGCTTTTATAGTTTCTTTCACAGTTTTATTTTTTTCTTTTATAACTTTTTATAGTGCTTAGAGCTCATCCTATTACATTCATGTAGCATAATTTGTTTAGCAATGAATATCCAGTCAATCAATATCTCCTTTGTTTCCAGTTCTTTGCTGCCACAAAAAAAGAAAATGCTGCTATAAATATTTTATGTAGCCTATGTATCCTTTGCGGAGATTATTGGCATGCTCACTGGCATTGTCCTGAGAGGACACAGAAAACTCCTGGTTGGTTCCCAGTGGCTGGGGCTATCTCCAATGATTGGCTACATGGGACTCAGGAAGAAAGATTCTTTTTTATAGTAGCCACCCTTTTACATTGGTCTACAGAGGAAATAAACAGCCCATTCTTAGGCCTTTTGGCCTGTTTTGATTTCCTTTTTTTGGAAAACAGATCAGCATGCAACAGAGAAAACCTGGTCCTGGGGGAAAGAAGCATATGCTTGAACAGTTTCTTCCTAAAGGAAATAGAAATGTGTGCCTTGGAGCAGAGTAGACATGTATTTATTCCTTGACCTGAAAGGAGAAAACCTGAGTATGGATTTTCCTAACCCAAGTGATGACAGTAGCCAGAATTATGACAGTGTTCCTGCAAAAGTACATGCAAGTGAAGTCAGAGAGAGAAGTTCGTAAGCAATGCTCTTGAACCTGAAGAAGGGGGGTGGGAGTGATTTCACTTCCCTAGATAGCATCATCCTGGAGTCTAGCCTTCTAGTCAGAGCAGGAGGATGCCCCAGGTAACACCAGTCCTGAGGATTGCCTCATAGATAACATTATGCATGAGAGTTTGAGAGTTCAGTTACCAGACCTTGTAGATGAGGATTATCCATATAGCCAAACAATGTAGACATTAGAGAAAGAAGATAGTCACTCATGTGACTTGCAGCTGAACGACTAAATCCACATCATGAAGGATCGGGAACAGAACAAGATGTAGACTTTGCCACCCCCGAAATTACCTTGAATTATTTGGATATCACTGGTCAGATGCGGGGGGGGATTGTTTGTTCAGTAGCGCCCAAAGTATGCTAACAGTTCAGGGGATCCAGATCTCTAGGCAGCAAGGGCATGGCTCTCTTTGGTCCGTCAGCTGTAGAATGAGCCTGAAGATTGTCGTCTTCTCACTTGGCAGTCAACAACTAACCCAAGATCACAGAACTCTCCCCCCATGAGCTTGCCACCAGAGCTGGAAATACCCACTTCTCAGGATCTCTAGTTACTGGACCACGCTTAGGGAAGAAAACAGAGCACCAAAGGCAGCCAGGGCCTCAGGCTGTCCTAGGCAAGTGTATATTCCCCCTGCCATGTGGCTGTTGCCCCAATTTCTAGAGCAATATACTCCCTACCCCTTGCTGGAACTCCATAGAAGAGAAAGCTCTGGAAGAGTCCCCAAAAAAGGGGCCCAAAACAAATGAGAGACATTTCTCTTTACTTTTCCCGTAGACCACCAAATTGACAGCTGCTCTTGACTTCAAACTCAGTGTTCTTTCCACTGCCAAGCTCCCTCTACAAATTCAGTGCATGAGAGAACAAAATAGAAAAATTTTAGGGGGAGAAAAGCTTAAGGTTTAAGGATTTTGGGGGTCAAAAAGTGTTTATTGAGAGAGGGCTCAAAAGCGTTCATTGGGTTGAACTAGATGGCCTTTGAGTTCCCTTCTAATGCTTTCTGTATGATCTTATGAGTCCATTTCCCTTTCTGAGGCCGTCTTTGGAAGCAATACAGGCACATCAGGTGTGCTGGTGACCACCAGGGGGCAACATCTCCCCATTCCTCCATGATGAACACAACCAGATTCAAGTTCTGGTATCTTACCAGGAATAAGTTAACCACCTCCCTCATTCCCACAGAAAATCTGTATCCCAGTGGAGAGAGGAGAGAGGGTAGAGTTTTAGAGACTATGCCCAGCACTTAGATACCCACAAAATGATGAACTCCACCGCCCGTGAGGTCACTGGGGGGGTGTCCCACGTGGGTGATCTGACACTCAGCCTGTGGGTGAAGGTTTTATGTTTGCATCCCCAGCCTGCCATCCTAACTTATGGTTTGGATGAGATGGGAATAGACAACTCTATTCCTCCTGATGACAAGACGACCCATCAGACTCTAGCATTGTCACTTGAACTACTTATGTAACCTAAGGACCTTGGAGTCATCTTCCCTACCTCTGAAACCTGAGAACTTCCTGGCCTTTCCATATGCCCTGCAGCCCACCTTTCTTTTATGGGATTGTTGATTTTGCTATTTGTATCCTGGATTTTAGCACAGTGCTTGGCACATACTAAATACTTAATACATGCTTTTTATT